AAAACGAAGCCCACGTGCTGTTCAGTATAGGGGAGGAAGTTGCCTGAATCCAATGCAGAGGGAACTATGAGTCGTTATACCAAAATAAGCACTGAGGAGCATGAAGAGAGATTCAGGACAATTTAGGACTTACTGGACACAGAAATTCAAACTGTGATGCAATCACTGAGCAAAATGATGGGAATGCAAAAGGCTGGAAGAGATACATTGGATGATAAACGGCAAAGGGAATCGGGGGAAATGTGAAAATAAAAAAAAAAATCTTGGGCAGAAAGACAGAAAACATGTAAAGACCTTGTAATTTAGCCTGAATTCAGGGAGTAGGGACTTCCATGACAAAGCTAGTCAGAATCTGGTTTAAAATAATAAAATACAAAAACATGTTCCATGTGACAACTCGCAGATGTGTCAAATTCCTCATAATAGGACCAGTGGATACAAAAATTTTACATGAACTCCAGAAGAGACTGAACAAAAACTCAGATTCACTGCAGGCTAGCAAACACACAAATTGCAGTAGGTTCAGGAGATCCCCGGACATGAAAAATTATTCTGAAGCTTACTGCTAAATGTCTAGAAATTTTTCAAACACTTCAGCAGTTTTGTTTTTCTACTGACATTTGACTATCGGCACACTCACAAAACAGGACAAACATTTTAAGCATCCTAACAGCATGCCAAGCTATGTGCTGCTGATGTAGACGTTTGAAGCAGCAGAATCACAGGAACATGGAGGCAGTGCAAAACACGAACCTTTGACATGAGCTATTAAACGGTCTTAAGACTCATCTACAAGCAGCACTACACTGAGACACGCACACATAAAACCAAGATCCACAAGTTCAGTTGGTTTACTTTCTTTTTAAAAAAGTGAAAGCTATTACATACATAAAAGAAACCTCAATGTTAAAAGAGCATGAAGGTTAAAAATAACCTAGCATTCAATTTAGAAAGTGACAGATTATGTTGCCTATAATCTTCAGCTTGGCCTCTTTCTGCATATGCCTTAGAGTATGATAATACTATGTGTCACATTTTCTCTAAAAAAAAAAAATCTATGCCTCATTCAAATCATGGATGAATGGATCGATCAGGATTATGCAATAAAGGATAACATAGCCTGACCTCTTCCTGCCTTATTTATTGCATCACCTATAATGTGCACAGCGTAAGAGGCGTAAGATGGTTAAAAAAAAAGGAGCAGACAGAATTAGCTCAAAAATTCAGGCAAACAAATAGCTTTTAGGCATTATACTGGATCACCCTCCTATCTGTATCGCAGAGGTTCTATCAGATGGGAGACAAACACGTTTTGAAATTGGAGGACTGGAAGTCAGTGGGAACACATTTCTCCAAGTATCATCAGATGAGGTATTAATTTACTTTTAGAATAGATAAAACCCCACATTATTCATAGTGGCGGCTTCTCTCATCCTTTCTTCCTGCCAGTTATCACTAGGTCTGCAACAGGTCAACAGTGAGTAAAAGACGAAAAGGGCAGTAACAGCTGTGGAGCGATATAGCCTCACATATCTTAAAGAGCAGCACATAGACACATCTGACGTCTACTGCTCCACTTGCACTTACAGTGAAATTGAAGTCAATCCTTTGCTTTCAAGATAGAAAATGCTGAACATTCTGAAAAATCAGTGCCCAAATGTTTCATGCTGAATTCCTAAAGTTAGCAGGTACTTCTATGTACTTCTGTCTACACCTTTTCCTTGCCTCACTTCCTCATCCCTAAGTTGGAAAAAAAATCACCTCTTCATCTACAGCTGTGAAAATATTTGAGCAGAATGCAAAAATTCCAAGGGCAGGGGGAATCACTTTGTTTTCCAAGTGAGACACAATAGACAAAACATGGAGTCTTCCACTGAAACAATAGGGACAAAGTGAAACATTATGTCAACACTCCTCCAGTGAGCATGATGCACTCAATACAGAATGTAGGATGGAAAAATATGTTATTTTTCATTACAGGAGATCATGTAATCACAGACTCGACAAGGATCTCGTAGATATATCATAACAAATTAAGACAAAGACCAATGTCTGTCTAATACTATCAGTACAAGTAGAACAGCATTACAGCATAGGAGAAGTCTAACCAGTTGTTAATGCCTCGATTACCTTCAAACACAAATGTCTATAATGTAGTTAAAGCCGCTCAATTTTGAGGCTTATATTAGAGGAAAACAGAAGATAAAGAATACAGAACAAAAGACATTTAATTCTAGAACAGATGCTGATGTACTACAAATACACTACAGATTATTTCAAATATATTAAACTAAGATATTTGAAATAAAGACTGGCATGGATAATTAAGAACTATGTGCACTTCCAAAATACATTTTCAAGATGCTTGTAAATTACATTAGACATTTAACTAAAAGAAGTATCTGATTTATAGGAGGAAGAGAGATAATACGCATATTATAACCTCTCTTTTTTGAATAAATTTTTACTGACAATGGGAACCTGTTATCAAATTGCAGATGAGTGAGACCTCTCCAGTCAGCTAGTCCAAACCCACATTAACTATGATGAATCACATGCTGTAATTTCCATAAGGTTACCTGCTCTCCACGAGAACCTCTCTACTGAGGTTTAGAATTGCACCTTTTGGTAACCTGCTCTGTACACCAAATGGTATTAAAAGAAAAACTGAATCTAATTAACTTAAAAATCACTGCTTCTCTTGCCATTAGCATAGCAAGTATTTCTCAGTCACAGCAACTCTGCAATGCATTCCTTTTATCACTTGCTGCTAACTTTTCTTTTAACTCCAGACGGACCCCACTGCTTTTCTTCACACTGTTGTTATTTTCAGGTTTCACACAGTTGCAAAATAAAAGCACCGCAATTTGTGCAGGAGTGGTTATTTCGCAACAACAGACTATTTATTATCTTTGTTCTTCCCGACCTAAACCAGCTACCAATCAATTTCTGGTTCAGGTTTAAGGTGTTGGCTTTGACTTAGGCAGTCATAAGGAGTCTTTGGGTAATTTAGAGGTCTCTGGTATCAGAACTCTGAGGAACCTTGCCGCAGTCATTTTAGAAACTATCCTCCCACTTGTCCTCCTGTAAAACAGACTGCTCAAATGCCAACTCAGACAGCAACGCACCTATCAAGCAAGTTTTGCTTAGAATTTGGGTTGGGTTTTTGATTTTTGTTGTTGTTCAGCAATAAAGTTGAAAAAAAGTGTAATGAATCTCAAAAACCCCCAAGTTCAGTCTTCAAATATTTTTAAAGTAAAACGAGAAAAAGAAAATGCAAGATTCACAGTTCTTCTGAGGCATTGATACTATCACCCTTTTGTTCATAAATTTAAGGGTTACAGAACCCAAGAAGTGTAAGATCAAGGGTCCAGGTTTTGTGTGCAAAGAAACTAAATTCCAATTCTTTCACCTTCCAGGAAAGTGCTTCCACCGTCATAATAGGGAATATTCTAGCACAGGGTGTTCCTGAAGCTCTACAGAACTATTTAAACACTTGCAAGAGAATAGCCTAAGAAACCTAACTTAAGACTGTAGTAGGTGATCCCATTTTAATTTTATCAACCATTGATCACAGAT